AATTGCAAGCTGAGGGGTGTGAGATAAGAGGTCTCTGGGCACCATTCTTGATTCAGAAGAGCCTTGGCTCTCATTCTCTTCTGTGAAATGGGACAGTATTTGTTCTAGTCTCTATCTTTTTAGGACTTGGCAATATCGCCATACTGGATTAATATTTTTGCTCCATGTAGAAATGGATGCGTTTGGAGGATGCTGTTCTTGTAAAATGGAGATACTTTTCATTGTCAAAATTGTTATACTCTCTCTTTTTTTAGGTCACGCTTTTATCTTGGTCACGGAATACAACATCGAAGAGATGGGATACAAGAGGAGCAAACTATTGTACATCAGGTCTGGTCAGGTTTGATAATAAGTTCTTTTGTAGTGAGAAGTTTGCTCTTAAATACAATGGAAATGTAATTTACTGAGAGGTGCCCTTGGGACGGGGTAGGAAGGAGGCATGCTGTCGATGCAGCTCTCAGCAGTGAAGATGCAGAGGGCCATGTGTGTGGTGGAAGCCCAGAGACTGAGCTCTGTCCTCCCTCTCTGCGAGCAGCTAGCTAGGTGTCCAGGCCTTGAATTTCCTATCTGTAAAATGGAAAGATCAAGCCACTGTGGGTGGCATGCATTATTAAGCAATAGAATTCCTTCTAGGAAATACCTTTCTGGAAACCAAATACAAGCCATGGTGAGAGGCACTGTGTCTGCCTTGGAGGTTCTCCTCACAGAGCTGGAGGCTCTATTGTTCCAAGGTGAAAACCATTGCCCTTACTTCTAACCTAACACTTGGTTTATTCTAACTTCTCAAGACCTAATGTCCTGTGATGCTTAGAGAAGGATTCTGGCAGCTGACACTTCAGCTTATACGGGATCTGAATGTGAAACACAAGGATGGAGACAAGCTCCTGCCACAGAGGGGAATGCTGCGTCACCTCTACAGGAATGTTCAACTCTTGGGCTGAAGGTAACCCTGTTGCCAGTGATGGTTTTGTATGTATATCCTTGCACCCTCCTTTCTTCTCTCCATCATTCATCACTCATTCACAAATTTCACAAACATTTATTAAGCACATAGTTTTAGACAAGAGTCTAGTGGGAAAGACAGTGAATAGGTCATCACATAGGCATGTAATCTCACACAGAGACTAGGGAAGCATGGTGATGAGGGGCGACCAAACCGAAGACGGGACAAAGGAGGCAGCTGGGGAAGAACTGGGAAGAGGATGTGTTCAGGCAGAGGAAATGGCCTGTAAAGACGACGTGGTGATGACCAGGTGGAAGGACAGGGTGTGGTGTGCTCAAGGAAAGAGGGGGTCTGCTGTGGTTAGTACACTGGGAGAGGGAGAAAGTGAGTGTACTCTTCACCTCTGAGCCCTCAAGAAAGAACACAGCAACGCAGCAGGGCACCTGCTCGGTTTAGGCAGCTAAACCATGGGCCCTACAGGGAAGAGGCTTTTTATGCTGCAGCAAAACACATGGAAATAAATTCGTCACTTGAGTAATCTCATTTTCCCCCTTTCTACTGCCTGGCTGGATGCCCCTGGCCTGCAGGTGGCAGGTCCAACTGGGAGAAGATTGAGGCCAGAAAAGGAGATTGGGAAAGTAAAGCAGAGAAAGGGAGAAATGACAGAGGCAAAGTTGGGTACTGGGAGGTTTTGTCACTTGCAGGCAGTTAGAGGCTTTCACTGTGCCATTTACTGGCTGTGTGACTCTGAGTAAATCCCTGAGCCCTCAAGCTCCTTGAATGAGACCCAGGGACCCTACAGACTCCCTTGGAGGTTATCAAGAATAAGTGATAAGCCTGGCATATAAAATTGGCCCCTAAATAGTGGCTGCTAAAAGATGTTGTTTAGGTCAAAAAGGAGACAACAGCCCCTTTGATTAGCACTTTACCATTTCCAGAGTACTTCCACAGAAGCACAGAAACAAGGAGATTGTATGTGCACACCCAAGTCTGTTCACCCCGCCTCCTTCCTCTTGCAAACAAACCATAAACAAACACTTAAAAAACAAAGAAACAAAGCAACTAAAGTATTTATGTTTACTCCGTGCCATGCACTGTGGTGAGCACTGACTGTCACAGCCATAGCAGAGGAAGGTGCTGCTGTAACTGGCAAATGTAGCAATGAAAGGTTAAGCGACAAGGTCAAGGTCAAGGTCATAGAGGTAGTCAGTGAGCAGTTTACTTCCTAGTGCCAGGAGCAAATGCAAGACTAGCACCATGCTGCCTGGTGGAGAGGTGAGCCACAGTACGGCCATTCTTGCAGTCAGAGGGGGAAACACTTCCTGGACACAAGTAAATCTCCTAGAAGGAACTAGGTTCTATTGTAGCATGGCCAAAGTACTGAGAGAGCAGAGGAAATGAACTCTGATTGTTCATTTATCAAACATATATTAAACACTGTGGTGCAATGACATGCTTTTACATGGCTTCTTTAGTCACAGTCTTGTAACACTCACAAAATGCCTGGCCGGGCTGAAGAAGACGGAAGAAGAATTGGTGATTTTGAATTATGGTATTGGTGAAGAATATTGACGATACCAAACAAACAAATCTATCTTAGAAGAAGTATGTCTTGGATGCTCTTTAGATGAGAGGATGGCGAGAATTTGCCTCATGTACTTCAGACATGGTTATCAGCAGGAACCATTATCTGGGGAAGAGCGTCAAGCTTGGCAAAGCAGAAGGCCGGGGGGAAAGAGGAAGGCCCTCAACAAGATGGAATGACACAATGGTTGTGATGGTGGGTGTAAACGTCACCCTGATTGTGAGGGTGGCTTTGGACGAGGCAGGGTTTCATTCTGTTGCACGCACCCTCATAATGAGCTGGAACTTACTTGAGGATATCCAATAATAAAACTACCAAAGCAGTTCCTTCTAAGAACTTTTGTTTACTGTTTGCTTCAAAACAATAATACTTGCTTTCACTTTGCCAACATGTGTGTCCCACTGTCTGGCGTGATTACAGATGAACAGAGCACCCACGGAGTGGCTGATGTCCGTGCATCTAGGTGCTTCATTCTGAGCAATCTAATGGGTGCCGGGAGGTAAGAGGCACAGATCATCTGCATGTGCAATGCAGACCGACTGGAATGCAGCCATCTGGAATATACCTAGAGGAGTCCTTGGCTGATGCAAATAGAAACAGTGCCACTAACTGAAAGGCTGGAAGTGGAAATCTACCCAGAAAGACCTGGAGACCCACGGCCAAAAAACAAGCCACTGAAAAGGCTGTGGAGCATAGTTCTATTCTGATGCACGTCGGGCTGCCATGAGATGGAGTTGATGGCAGCTAGGAGAAGGAGGTGGGAATCACTGGTTAAAAAGACACACGTAGTCATTGTTCATGGACCATATGGTTTAGCATAGGAAACGCGCTGGCAACTACTTGTTTACACAAATAAGTACTTTAATTGCACCTGTGTAAGTATTGTGCACCGTGGAGTCAGAACTGACTCACAGCAGGTCTCAGAAGATTTAAAAGATTGCCCATCTTTCTTCCAAGGAGCAGCTGACAGATTAGAACCTCTGAGTTGGCAGTGCTACTCCATACTCACTAAGGGGTCAGAACTCCTTGTGCTAAGGAGGGGAAAAAAAAGGTTGCTGGAGAATACATCAAGGGTGAAATAAGACTTTATAGAGGTCTAGAAATGGTAAGAATGGGATTCTTCTGTAAATGCTTGTGTGTGGACACACACACACACAGACAGACTCCTGTACCGAAGACATGTAATTAAGAGCGTACTATTAAAATAGGGCGGCAGGTAGGTGAGCTGCTGCTGAACGTGTCAGCTTTAATTATTCTGGAGTGCACCTGGACTCCTCTTTCCTGCTTATTAGTGCTTCTGTAAGAAGGTAAGCAGAGGAAAGGGCTTCTCTTGATTTTGTTCTTTGCCTGATGAAAGCTTTGGTGCAAAGAATAAGCTTGAGACCACTGGCTGGAGCACAATTTATTTTTAAATATCTTTTTTTCCAGCCCCATCTCTGTGTCTCTTAAGCCCAGGACTCACAGCTAACAGACTCTGCAGGGTGGGCTAGTGGTTCATTAGGATCACATGTTTGGGACCAGACAGAGTTGGCCACCGTGTCACTACTTAAGAGCTATCAGAATGCAGGCACCTCTCTGGGCCTCGGTTTCCTCATGTAAATGTCACAGCAGATACTGCATGGGCTCACATGACACCTGGTCTCATCTACCTTTCCTACCTCTACTCAAGAGACCCAAACACAAACATTCATTTGTGATAAACAGGTATGGTCAGATGTTAGAGCTCCAGCCACATGTCTTTGGTGAGATTTTTCTGAAAAAGACGACAAGCCTTGATAGAGAAAGCTCTGTGCCTTTTGCTGTTCTGCCTTCTTCCTGTCTGCCTGAAAGGCAGGCTTTTCAAAGGTACAGCATTTGTGACCATGAAGATGAAGGAAGAGGAGTAAGGAAGCCTACTTCTTTGACAACAGTCTTCTAGTCCTGGCCTTCTTGGTAAGTAGTTGGTGTTGCTGTGTGCCACTGAGTTGGAACTGACCCACAGCTGATCCTCCAGCGGGTTTTCAGAGGCAGCAAATCACATGGGAGGAGATTGCCCATCCTTCTCCCGAGGAGCAGCTTTCTCCAGAGCTGATGGATTTGAATCGCGTGCCTTTAAGACTGCAGTGCAGCTTCTTACCACTAGGCCACCAGAGCTTCCTACTTCAAGCCATCAACACATCAGATCAACCTCTTATTTGTCTGACCTACTCTTTATCAAGGTTTTTTTTTTAATTTGCAATTTAGTACATTTCTAAATTGCTACAAATGGGACTAAAAATAGAATTGAGTAGGCTGTGAGGATTAAATGAGCTAACATGTGCATAGTGTGAACTCCATGGCCCAGCACAGAGCAAGCATTCAATAAACACCTAGTACACATGCTGACAGTGGTGAAGAAAGATGAGGGGAACAGGAAGCCTGGCACCCCTTTTGGTGAGTCCCTGGAAGTGTGGGTGCAGGAAGCTGGGCAGGGTCGGGGGCCAGCGGTCCTACCTCGATCACTGAAGTCGTCCACCAGCACAATCTCGGCCACCAGCTCAGGCGGTGAGCGGTTCAGCACACTGTGCACTGTGCGGAGCAGGGAGGACCAGCCCTCGTTGTGGAAGGGGATGATGATGCTCGTGTTGGGGAGCGTCTCCAGGTAGCGTTTGCTGTTGCAGCTGGAAGGAAACAAGAAAGAGGAGAGGACGGGTTCAGCTCTCATCTTGTCAGGAGAACTCGGACATACAGCTAAAGGCAAATTCCACATCCTTGCATGGTTTGAGGGAGTGAAAGCTGGTGACAGCTCTGTTGTTTCAGAGCATTCTCTTGTACTTGTCATCCTGGAATTCGGCCTCTGGCCCCTGCATGCACAGTACAGAGTCGTGTGTGTATACAAGACACCTTGTTGCCCATCTCACTGTGTATGTGAGTGGTCACAATCGGAGTGTTTACAGCACTGATGGTGCAGAGGTCGGTGCTGACTGCTATAAACACTCTGTCTTACTTAAGCCTCGTGTTTTCCTATGGAGACAGTCCTTCAGGTCTCTCTCCAAACCACACACTTCCTTGCCCTTCCTGGCTCTGCCTGAAGACAGCACGTTTTCTCCTCTGCTCTCCAAGTTCATAATAGAATGAGGATGAGAGGCCCTGCCCCTGGGCGGAAGGACTGTAACACCCCCGAAATCAACACAGTTTCTTAACAAAATATTTAGTTGCTGTTCAAATTCCTTTGACTTTCACATTGTTAAAAATAATTGGGTGGTTTAAATCTTATAAGACCTAAAATAAGATCCAATACTGTATTTGGGGGAGGTCTCCTAAGTCTTTTATATACATAAGTTGTCCTCCCTCTGCCCTCTCAATCCCATCTACTTTATAATTTATTTGAAGAAACTAGATCATTTGTCCTATATAATTTCTCATAGTCTGAGTTTTGCTCATTTCAACTCTAGACTCTTTCAGTGTGCTCCTATGCTCACCCCGCCTCCGCCAAGCATTTTTCCTCTTAAAAATAACAACATCATTGCCACTGAGTCAGAACCAGCCCAGAAATGCACCCCCCAGTGGGTTTTCAGATGCTGCAAATTGCAAAAGAGAATGCCCATCATTCTCCCAGGGAGCAACAAGTGGATTTAAGCTCCAGCCTTCAGGTTGGCTGCGTAACTCTTTACCCACTAGGTCACCAGAGCTCCCTCTGGTGTTGCTTTAAGCTCGATATTGAAGCTTGGTTGGCTTCAAGTAGACATTCTGGCAATCTCTACCTAGTGTCCTAGTGTGCAGCCTCTTTGAGACTCATAACGTTCATTTGCCTTTTGTGCGTGCTTGTGTGTGTGTGTGATGTGTGTTATCAAGTCAATTCTCACTCAGGGTAACTTGATAAGACAGATTGGCTCCTATAGGGGGTTTTATAAATTTCTTTTTTAAGATTCATTCACTGTTGCACATTTTCTTTCCTCTCCCTCCTTTTCCCTCCCCCAGTCCACTTTGCAATGCACCACTTATTCCAGACTGTCCTACATATAATGCCTAATTACATAATCCCTTTAAAGATCTCTCCCTCATCTATTCCAACGCAGTGTTTATTATCTATCCCATAGGGTCTCCTCAGCTATAGTCCTTACAGGAGCAGATCATCAAATTGCTTCTCTGGTAGAGCCACCTGTAGGTCTGAACCACCGATATTTCAATTTGCCGCTGAATGCTTAATGTTTGCACCACTAGGGCCCCTTCTCTGATGATTAATGTCTAAATTCCTTTGTTTTATCACAGTCTGCAAAATAGTGATATTCTGATTCTAAATCTCCTTCTTCATTTATTAACTGTAACACTTCCAAAAAGAAAAACCTTATCCCATTAACTACTGAGCTACAGGAAAGGCAAGAACAGTTCTTAATTCTTGTCTACCAGATTTCAGAATAAGTTAATTATGCTTGCCAATTGACTCTGACACACAGGAACTATAGACAGAACTATCCCAAAGGGTTTTCTTGGCTGCAAGATTTTTCCAATTTTATTTATTTAAAAAAATTACTGTGATTTAAAGTTTACAAAGTTAATTAACTTTTCATTCAACCATTCATACATGTTTTGCTCCTTAACATTAGTTTTAATACTCAAAATGCTGACACACTTTTCCTATCTCTTCTCCATAATTCTAGTTTCCATTTGTTGTTTTCATATTCTGTAGATTCAGAACTGACTCATGGCTGACCCTCCAGTGTGTTTTTGGAGACTACAAATTAGATGGGAGGAGATTACCCATCTTTCTCTCTCAGAGCAGCTGGTGGATCTGAACCACATGCCTTTGGGTTGGCAGTACAACTTTGAATTTGATTCAAAATTCAAAATTCTGAATTCTGCCCTGTCCTGAGCCAGTCTCACTAATTCTCACACACCAACCCCCATTGCCCCAGTCACTGTATCAATCCATCTCATCTGGGGTCTCCCTCTCCTGCACTGTCCCTCCACCCTAATAAATATGATGTCCTTCTCCAAGGACCAGTCTCTCCTGGCCACATGCCGAAAGTATGAGATGAAGCTTAAAAATCCTAGCCTCCAAGGAGAAAACTTGGTTTCAGCCTCTCTAAGATAGACTTATTTATTTTCTTGGCAGTCCATGGTATGTTCAAGACTCTTCTCTAGCACCACAACTCGAAGGCTGTTGTGTGGCAGTACAACTTCGGGTTCACAGTACAACTCCTTACTCTGGGCCACTAGAGTCTTTCTCTACCTCTCTGTGCCTTCCCATTCTTTAATGATGTCATGCTGATCATGCACAAAATTGGGACTGGATTCCCTGGAACAAAATATCAAACTCAAAGCTCACTGCTAACCAGTTGGAGCTGACTCAAAGCTGACCATCCAATGGGTTTATGCAGCTGTAAAGCTTTACATATTTCTTCCCATATTTCTCCTGTGGAGGTGGTGAACTAGGGGAGTGTGTTTTGCCCAGCTGGCTATACTCATCCTACCCATCTGTGTTCCTGCTTGTATACTGTTATTGTTAAGTGTCACTGGGTAGAGTACAATTCATAGTGACCCTGTGAAGAACAGATCTGAACCTTGTCTATCCTGTGCCATCCTCACAATCTCTGACCAGAGTCACTGTGTCAATCCATTGTGTCTTTTCAGTTGGCACATGACACTAGGGCTTCTAAACTGTCATTCACTCATTGCTGTCAAATCAGAGTCAACCTTTCTTTGGGCTTCTGCAGCTGCAAATCACACAAAAGGAGACTGCCCATCTTTCTCTGGAAGTTACTGGTGGGTCCAAACCACCAGAGTAGTTAGGCCTTTGGGCCAACAATGCAAATCCCAACAGACCTGGCCATCAGGGCTCCATAACTAGTCATCAGGAGGGGACATAACAGCAAGACACACTTAACAAGATGAGGATTTACAGGAATCACCTGGGCATAATTTAAAATGATAGATTCTGATTTGCTATATTAGTGGTTGTTGTTGTGTGCTGTTTAGCCAGAAATGACCCATAGCTGAACTTCCAACAGGTTTTCAGAGGCAATAAATTGCAAGGAGGAGATTTTCCATCCTCTTACAGAGCAGCTGGTGGATTAGAACCTGTGGCTTCGGGATCGCAGCATAGATTCTTATCACTAGACCACCAGATCTCCCTATATTTGCAATTGTTGATTACTTTTGAGTCAAGCATGACACATAGCAACCCTATGAACAAAAGGCCTGAAGCCCCTCTACAACTACTGACATTTATCAAAGTTCATAGAATTTCCGGAGGCTTGTTGTTTAGGAAGTGGATGCCACTCCTGTTTCCAAACCTATCATAGTATGTTATTGTTGTTATGTGGTGTTGAGTTGCCTGTGACGCATAGTAACCCTATATAAAACAGCTCTGAACCCTTCCCTGTTCTGAGCCAGTCTCACCAACTCTGACACACCAACCAACCCCCATTATCCCAGTTACTTTATCAGTCCATCTCATCTGGGGTCCTCCTCTCCTGTGCTGTCTGTCCACCCTTCCGAGCAGGATGTCCTTCTCCAAGGACCTTTCTTGGCCACATGCCCAATGTAAATGAGGCAGAACTTCAAAATCCTAGTCTCCAAGGAGAGACTTGATTTCACCCTCTCCAAGACAGACTTATTTGTTTTCTTGTTAGTCCATGGTGTGTTCAAGACTCTTCTCCAGCACCACAACTTGAAGGCACCTATTCTTCTTCTGTCACCCTTAGTCTTTGTCTAACTCTCTGAAACATAACAAGTACCCAAGAAGACCATGATTAGGCACACCATTGTATCTAGACTGACATCGTTGCTTTTCAGCACTCTGGAGAGGACCATGACAGCAGATTTTCCCAAGGCAATTTGTCTTTTGATTTCTTGACTGCTCGGGTAGAAATGAAAATTCTCAGCAAAGGGGTAAACAGGGATTAAGTCCTGACCTTCGGCAAGGCAATTTTCAGCTATCTAGGGAAATTCTCAGTAAGAAGCATTGCTGTGAGCTACCCATTGCACTTATTTCTAACTGCTGGAATGGGCACACTGACTCTGTTCACCATAATTAATCCTATACAGAGGGACGCCATGCTTGGGAGGGTGGAGGGAGAACACAAGAGAGGAAGACTCCTGATGAGATGAATTGATTCAGTGTCTGGGGTAATGGTGGTAGGTGTATCAGAGACAATAAGGTGGGCTCAAGACAGAGCAGGGTTCAGAGCTGTGGTACATCATGTCGCTATGAGTCACAGATGAGTCAATGGCACATAGCAACAACAACAACAAGAGGGTATTGTTATTATTCTCTCTGCATTAATATTAGAAACTAAAGGTACGGTGTAGTCTTCAATATAGACTGAAACTTAACATCAAGAAGACAACGATTCTCACCACTGGGACAATTGGCAGCACCATGATAGATGGAGAAGAGATTGAGGTTGTTTACAGTTACAGCTTGCTCAGCTCCACAATCAGCACTCTTGACACCAACAGTCAGGAAATCAAAAGACAAACTGCATTGGGAAAATCTGATGTCAGGGACTTCTCCAAAGTGTTAAAAAGCAACAATGCCAGTCTACAGACTAAGGTGCACCTAATCCACGCCATAGTTTTTGCAATTACTTGCTATGCATCAGAGAGCTGGACAATGACTAAGGATGAAAGAAAGAAGAATTGCTGCCTTCAAATTGTGGTGCTGGAGAAGAGTGCT